ATTATTATAGAAAAATCTTTATTAAAATTATTTCGAATTTGAGTTTTAGTTTTTCATTATATGATCTGAAAATTTACTTACTTTGCTTCGCTAACAATTTCCTAAGTTTCTTAAATGAACAATTCGATTTTCTAATATTAAAAATTATGTATACGTTACATAGGGGGGCATAAGAATTTTAGAAAGGCTTAGGTGGGGCATGGTACAAAAAAGGTTGGGAAACACTGGTCTAACCCCTTTGAAAGTTATAAGGGTGATACTTTTTTTTTTTCTTTTTCTTTTTTTGCTGATTGTACAGTGCACCAAAAATAAAAACGATTCACTACAAAATAACGTAAATTGTGATTTTATCCATTGGTAAAATGGTTGTTGTCTAATATTTTTTGGAAAAGAAACTTTTATTGTGTTTTCATCTTGGGCATCTTTAACTACTAATCCTGAACTGCTCGGTACACAATTTCGCAGACACATTTCAATGCAACTCTGACACATTCTGTGTAAATTCCTTTGAATAGACATTGAACAGCCGATCGAGATCAATCTTAACATTTTCGGATGGGTGCAATGGTGTTTGATGAAGATTGTAAGCTGCATCATGCACCCGTTTCGGATTCACAAGTTCTTACATGAAATATGATTTGAGAGCTAGGCATTTTTTCAATTTTACATGAATAGTGAATGAATCATTTACATTGCGGGGAAGACAGTCTTTTGCAAGCCCTTTTATGGATCCTTTTATCCCTAACTGGTGATCAACACCCAGTTCTCGTATTTGCATGAAAGGGGTTCGAGGAGTCACCGTTTGCTCTTCGGTATAGTTCAATTCTCTCAACCACTTTGGTACTTTTGTGAGGGACGGGCTTCATGCTTGCGTTTGTGTACGAAATCCTTTAGTTTTTCCGTTTGTGTGTAACGCTCAAGGTGTTCCCGTCTACGCTCTTAGGCTCTGTTTTTTTCCGCCTCGGTAAGTTAAGGCCTTGCCATCGTTTTTTTCTTGCTTCAACTCCAACTTTTGGGACATGTCAATCAGTTTGGACTTTTTTTTATTTGTGATATTCACCTAAATTAGTATTGAAAACGATCCAGTTAGAATTTCTGATTCTTAATTGAAACAATGAAAACAAACATATCGTTCAAATGATGAAATTCTCTTTTATTCACAACTCGAGAAGTATTTATGGGATCGCTCTGGTCCCATATCTCAAATATAAACTCACCAACATAATGCATAACGAAATTAAAAAGTGAAAAAAAGAATTCTAAAAAAATTATCAAATAGCACTGGTCGTCATAGCAACGCAGGCGCACTGTTTACTGTTACTCTTGATTATTGTAGTTGAAAAGTGAGAACGCCATGAAATCCAAAACAATACCCATTTTGCCAATGGGTAAAAAAAAGAGACCACCCTGAATAACTTTTGATCTAATGATCGGATGATATCTCGAGAATTAGTTAAGCGAATGAAGACATTTTTACACTCAATTTAAAATTCGATTATCCAAAGGTAGCTCTATGTAAAATTAGAGCCACAAACAATAAAAAACAATAACTTTTTACTAAAAACAATAAGTTTCAGTCAATATTTATTATTTTTTCTTATTTTATGTAAGAATCGTCGAAAAATTTTAAATTGTAAGGTATGAAATTTTTTGCATCATTTTAAAAAATGTAAATTTAGATGGAAAATTACAAAATTTAAACGAAATCGGTCAATAGTTCCTGAGAAGTCGAATTTAAAAGTACGAATCTCTTACACTTATTTTTTCGTTTGCACTTTGAGGTCACCCTCTTAAATCCTTATGATTTAAGTTCTTGAACGTGAAGATCTGATCATTAGATCAAAAGTTATTCAGGCTGGTCCGTTTGGATTTCTTACACGCTCTAATTCTGAAAGCTTTCTCATTACAATAGAATGGGTAAAAAGAACTTATTTTTCAGTACCAATCTCGAAGATGCATCTTTCATTTACTTAATATTTCCTAAATATTTTTTATTTAAAATATCAATCTCAACAATTGAGTAGGTTACTTGATTTAATTTATTTTTATATATAAAATTGAAGGATCAACAAATCACGTGTATTTCCTGAAAAAAAATTTCATTTGATAGCAACCTATAATTCTATGACAGCTTCCAAATAAAGCTTTTTTTATATGTTTGCCGGGCTTGCTTCCGTAGTAACGGCCATTTCATGTATCAGATATAGATATCACTACGACACACCATTTATTGTTCTAATAGAGATTAGTGTTGCCACAAGAGATTAGTGTTACATTAGGGTTATCTCTTAGTGTTACCACAAGAGATTAGTGTTACATTAGTGTTATCCCTTAGTGTTACCACAAGAGATTAGTGTTACATTAGTGCTTTCCCTTAGTGTTACCACAAGAGATTAGTGTTACATTAGTGTTATCCCTTAGTGTCACCACAAAAAACGCTTTTAATATCACTTTTAGCGCTAACATTTATTTAAGAATGGTCGAAAAAATTGTGAATTGTAAGGTACACAATTTTTTTTTTGCATCACTTTAAAGGATGTCATTTTACTGGGAAAAATACAGAATCTGAGCAAAATCGGTCGAATAGTTCCTGATAAATTGAATTTTAAGTATCTGACTTTTTTTTTTAACTTCAATTTCTCAGGAACTATTCGACTGATGATTAACTGAGCTTTGGTGATTTGAGAAGCAAAGTATACTATGTCATTTGAAAGATGGCCACAGAACGGAAATAATTATCCCGAAAAATTTAAATGGTATTTCCTGAGCCGCGATGGCTCAAGGGATAGAGCGTCCGCCTTCCAATGAGGCAAACCTGGTTCGAATCCCAGTCGATACGAATTCCGCATCCGGCTTGCACCGATCACATTGCTGATGTGAAATAGACTCAGTGGTAGACGGAACATGGGTTAGTGTCCCCTTGTCTTCAAGCTAACCGTGGGAGGTTTTCGTGGTCTTCCTCTTCATGTAACGCAAATGCGGGTTAGCTCCATCAAAACGTCCTCCACGAGGGCAGATTTCTCCCAATATTCGATCCAGGAGTTCCTTTGTCTTCTGGATTGGGTTCAAAATTACAAGGCTATGGAGTTGAACATTAGTAGCCCATAAAATTGGATCGGCTGTTCAACGACGGTTATAAAATGATATTTCTTCGGATCAACTTTTTTTTTCATTATTTCCAATACCCACCTTTGTTAGCATTTCGTCTATTCAGGCTCATACAGGGAAGATGCATTGGCTACTCTTTCAGGGGCACCATAATAGGTTTGCCAACGTTGCTCAAAACAGTAAAGACAAACAGAACAGAGAAAGAAACAATATCCATGCCTTGCCCGGTATGCGTATTGACAAAACATACCGTAGATTATAAGCGTGGCGATTGTAGGTGGAATTGGCGATGGATTACGCGTAAATGTGGTGGAAGAACGAAATTACATTAACCTAAACAGTGTAATTCGATATTCTTTTTCTCCTCCTCGGCTAGCCATGATGAATAAAAATAACTCATTAATTCTTTTCAGAAGAGAATTAAAAAAGAAAATGACCTTTTTACTGTCAGGATCACTTTACAAATACACTGCATTCATATTTTATTAAACGCTATAATTTATATTTTATAAAACGATCTAGTTTTTTGATATAACAGATTCAATTTTTTAACAAGAATTGTGTTTGCGAAGAAATAAAAATAATTTACTACTACTGAACCAATCACAAAAAATAACATAACATTTTAATGCTATGTTTTATTGAAACGCTATTTTGAAGAATTAATTCTATTTAACTTTTATTGTAAGAAAACATAACCTGTTTTATTTTAGTGATATTTTCTATTAAATCAATATTCTCTATAAAAGAATAATGTAAGCTTTTTTANGCCTTTATAAGCCACTACTCGATCTTGATACTCTTGACTTTGTATAATTTCACTCTCTAATTCATCGCTTTTATCAAAATAATTTTCAATTTTCAAATCAAGATCCTTTAAAGTTCCGTTTTTTTCAACTAACTGATTTAGTGAATCATACAAGGTCTCATCAGGAAGTATTTCTAATAACAATTTGTCAATTTTATTTATTAATTTTGTAATCAGCTGTCTGATTACAACCCGTTTGGACTTTAATTTTTCAAAATCATCCATTATAAACAGCTCGCACGTTACTATAATAAATACAATACAATTAATACAATAAAATATCAAAATAAATTACCGACTTAAGGGAGACCAAAACAAAACAAATGTTAACTCATATTTCATGCAGGTGGCCTATTTTTCGGCCGGTGTAGCACCATAACTCGAATTCAACAATAATTACACAAATTGAAATGATTCAAATTATTTTATTCCACTGTGGTTCAGTAGGTTAAATCTAAACTGAAACTTAAGAAGTGCAGAAAAAAAATAATAAAAAAAATTGTTTGTGCTCAGCTCCATCTGGTATTATAAATCCTCAACAAGTATAGACGTCTTAAAGATATCTATGATAGACGTAATATGGCTAATAAACACAATTATGTTAACAAATACAAACGATTATGTCGGAGCTATAACAAAAAAATACGCTTTATATTTCATTTAATGCAGAAGAATCTAATGAAGATCAGCTTATTTGAAACTCTGAAATGTCACACCCTTATGTAACTTGGTGAATGATAGATACGTGATGCCAAAAAACAAAACAAAAACATAAGCGCACAGCTGTTTGGCGATTTGCGAGAACGTTCGTTTAACGCCAATTGAAAGTTTCGCCAACCCTTTTATAATCTACGGTATGTTTTGTCAATACGCGCCCGGTATTCGAACCCAGAACCTTTCCGATACAAATCCAGTTCCCTGATCTTCCTTATAGGGATGTTCTTCATAAAGTCGTCAATAGCTCTAAGTTGACGTAAATAAACTACTTCTACTTAGCTAATAATCGGAAATGAACAAATAATGGACAATAAGGGATATTGTTATTCAACACTATGTCAGTTATAAATAAAAAAACACAATTGAATTAAAATAAAAAACAATTTTTTTTATATGTTTTTATTAATCTCTTTATACATCACAAGAAAGTCCGTAAAAATTATAAGTCATATAAATAATTCCTGCGACCATCTGTTTTATTTACTTATTGTAAAATCTATTTTAATTTCAAGTAAAGCAGCTGAAAAATTTCATATAGTTATATAAACTATACGTTTTTGCTTAAACTGAATTTAAAAACAAATTCCGGAAAATATATTTTTTTTTAAATTAATAGTAGAAATACAATAAAAAATGCAAATATACTTCTTGAAAAAACCGATTTTAAATAAATCCATTAAAAATTACTTTGCTCAATAGTAGTTAACGGCATGGTTAAAATTATTTCGTGGCTTTAAACGATAAAAATTATGTAGTATGATTTAGATAAAATCAATGTTTTTAAATCTTCAAAAGCTCGAATTATTAGAAACTCGAGTGTGTTTTTGAGTAATGCAGAAAGATTTTGGTGCTTAACTTGCCATTAAAAAATTGAATTTTCTATTGATTTTTGTTTTTTTAAGATATCTTTTGAGAAGTGCTGTAGATCTCCTTTCTTAAATTTACTGAGATGTTGCCTCTCTTGTCAGATGTTGCTTGCTCTATAGTTTTATACAAATTGAGTTACCCTAAAGGAAGAAAAAAAATATGTACTATTTAGAAGCATACAAATATAGCATTGGCATTTATTTAGTTTCTCAAAACAAAAAAATTTTAACTGTGAATTTGCAACTTATGCATTGCAAAAGGTAGTTGATTTTTCATGTGAAATCCTTGCATTTTTTTCTCCTGCAAGCAAAAGAGTAAAGACTTTTTTTATTTTGCTTCATTCAATTAATATAAACAATTTCTTGGCCATAGATGGCGCCACTGAAAAACAAGAACAATCGCACCCCTCTGCCTTTACAGGCATACGAAAGAGAGAGAATATAAATAATATGTTTTATAAGCACCTTAAATCATAGTCATCATTAAAAATGTAACAAAGTTCTTTTTAACAAAAGTTTTCAATTATGCATAAACTAACATAATAATATAAATTAAAACATCAGATGGGTTATTTTATATTTTAACCGTCGTTGAACAGTCTACTCAATTTTTGGGTTTACGACTATTAATGTTGAACTACGTAGACTTGTAATTTTGAACCCAATCCAGAAGACAAGGGAACTCCTGGATCAAGTATTGGGAGAAAATTGCCTTCGTGGTAGTTTTTTTGATGGAACTGACCCGCATTCGCGTCACATGGAGAGGAAAACCACGAAAACCTGCCACATTAGCCTGATGGCAAGGAGACTCTAACCCATGATTCGTCTACCACTGAGGATATTTTACGTCAGTACTGTGGTTCGTGCAAGCCGGATGCAAAATTCGTATCAACCAACCATCGCTTGGATTCGAACCCGGTTCACCTCAATGGAAGGTGAATTCCCCTGAGCCGTGATCACTCAGATTGGTTATTTAGAAAACAAACTTGTTGAGCATTTTAAAAAAAGGACAACCTAAATTTGTGTCTAAATAAGCTATCAAAGAATAATTGGTAGTAAAGCTCATGTTCTTTAGTATTTATAACACACTAAAAATCATTACTACTGATACGAAATATGCAGCTCTCCCAATTAAACTTACAGGACTTTAACCTAAAACATACATGTGTACAATTTTAGTCATCATGCAATGATTTATTTTAAAACTACCTCCAGTAGATTTAGTTATGTTACCAAGCATTACGTAAATCAAATTAACCATAGAAATCATTTAAACAATTTACAAATAAAAAATAATCAGTATAAGGGCCGGTATAGCCTGGTTGGTAGGGCACTAGGTCCATCTCCAAGACATGTTTGTGGGCTCTATCCCAGCCGGATAAAGAATCCTCGTGCAGTAAATGGTGACTGATGCACGCTAAATCTGTCAAGTCGCAAAGTCCGCTATGTTCCCATAACAAATCAAGACCTCTGGGGGTACTGATCCAGGAGCTTCCTTGTCTTCTGGATTGGTTCAAAATTACAAGGCTACGGAGTTGAACATTAGTAGTCGTAAACCCAAAATTGGGTCGGCTGTTTAACGACCCATATAAAATAAAATAAAATAATGTGGATATCTCGATTCTGATTGGTTGTCGAAACGCGGCATTTGTTTACGTTCGCAACTATTCTTTTCATTCTATTTTGAGTAAGCCAAGCACGTCAAGTAGCAATTCTTTAAGTGACACATTCTATATTCTTACATGAAGGTTCTTTCACGAAGATTACAATTATATATATATATATATATTGTCTGTTAACCGTTTGGAATCATTATGTTGATGAACTGCCGTATGATGTCAAAGAGATAATTCTGGTAACCTTAAAGGCCAGCTANACCATTATATATATATATATATATATATATATGACATTATCCACCTCCTCGCGCTGTTACTACTCAGTTTTGATCAAACACAATGTCGGCCTGCATACACTCGACTAAATGGCAACACAGGAGCGACAACGACATTGAATTTAAAACAGCTCTCACGATCAGCATAAGTACAGTAATCTTAATGCACAGCTCTCCCGGCTTCGCACAAAACAGCAATGAATCAACTAGTGGTATCCGTTCATCGAATTCTATCACAGATATAATTCTGGTGGGGGAGTACTGTAGTGTTTCTGCCATTACAAAAATACAATTCGAATTCCCTAGTACTATATAAGACATGTTAGCTCAATTCTATATTGGGGTACCTTTTCATAGGTGAAAATTGACATTGTCGATAACTACTAGCCCACACGCAGTTTTAAAAATATAGTGATAAAGAAATTAAGCAAACATTAGGTCTATCTGAATAAGGGTTTAAGAAAAATAGAACATGCACAAGAAAATAAGGGATTTTGGATAAGTAAAAAGAATGTTCCTTACCTCGCCACCCTGTTGTAAAACACAAAACTTTTTTTAATCAAAAAGCAGAATATTTAAAAGAAAATAGAAGGACATTAATGCAAAACAAAAAATAAAGAAAATTGTAATTTATTTGGCTCATGTAACTTATTGTAACCTAATTAAGTGGAAATGCACATAAAAAGTATCAAAATATGACTAAGAAATATCTCAGAGATAATTCAATAGGGAGTAGTGTTAAAAGCGATGAACTAGATCATTTATTTTTCTGGAATTTGAAAACGATAATAAATTATAAAACGATGGGTGATCTAGTTGTGCCTTCGTTATTGTTGTATTTTTTTAAGTGATCTACGCCAGTTTTTTAAGTGATCTATGTTTTTCAGTTTTGATTTGTTCTTGAGTATGATGTTAATTATTTGATAGAACTGGTATGTTTAAGATTATTAAAAAGTTGTTAAGTTTTAACCTTAAAATTGGTAGTTTTTTCAAACAGAGTTGTGTTTTAATTATGTTCTAGTTCGTGATGTAGCGTAACTACCACTAAGAAAATTAAACATCAATTCACTGGTATATAACATGCTAACTTGATTCAATCACGAGGAGATGACACTTGGCTCCACCTCCTCGGACGCAGAGTTCATTTCAGCGCGGGAGTCAGAAGAGAAACAACTCCGTGCTTGAAATTGAGACAACCCTTAATTTGCGCCAAACACAAACAGTGAATTCTTTTTCACTCACTTACTTCTCTATATCATCTGCTATTATACCTTTTGTTACTCTAGCTAGTGAAATATAGTTTTTAAATTTAAAAAATGCTGTTCTCCCAGCAAAATGTCTCATAAAGGACAAACTATTCACTCAAATGAAAGAAATATCTTAAAAAATGGTGCAAAATATCATCAAATTTATGAGATATTTATTGTTAAAAAAATGCACATAAAGTTTGCGAAATAAATATTTTTGCCAAACGATCGCCAAATAGCAACATTGTTAAGATTGCTCACAACATTCTCCCAAAAACAGCGAAATAGTATCGTCGCATACCACGTGATGAAGGAGGAGCCAAGTGCCAACTCCTGGTGAACGAGCTATAACTACCCAGATACTGACGTCATAACAATCCCCGCCTCTTTTTGAGTCACGTGAAGTTAGTTTCGTTTTAAGCTAATTTTGAGTTATGATTTTAAAAATTACAGGTCAATTTTGAACATACTGATTTGATTTTTGAGAGTTGTAATGTTACAGACTATTCAAAATCGTCAAGATTACGCGATTGCATGCAGGTTTCCTCATTAAGGTGAATGATCCCATCATTAGTTGTATTTTGAGCCCCAGCAATATTATCTATTTCTATTTGATTAGCTTCTGACAATTTATGTAATAATTTTACTACATTGATGCTTATCTGTAATTCAGTTTCATATAAAATTTTCGCAAAATAAGTTGGAACAATAATTTTTTTTTTGCACAAGGGAAAAACCAACAAAAAATTATTTATAAATAAATATTTGATTAATAATTGAATTCTAATTTAGTAATTGGATAATTTTTAAATGATCAGTCATTTGGTAACAATCATTTTCAATTAATAATTATTTTTAATTAGTCATTTAGTTAGTTATATATATTTCATTGTAAAATAATGAACAGTTCATAAATAAGTTATTAATATGTTTTTCATTATTAATTAACCCTTTGGCTACTAACGGGACTTATTTGTCCCAACAAATGTTTAAAAATTACTAATGGGGTGAAAAGCACTTAAGTAATATGTTCCAGTTGTAGAATCGAACCAAGTATGCGTGTTTCATGTGTTAAATATCCCCTAGATGGCGCTAAAGAGTTTCTTGCATGAAATAGCATTGTGATTTTGAGCAGGGACAGATATATGGGATTCTTCATTGGGACAGATATAGGCCACTCGTATTCTTCATTGGGATTGTTATGTCCATTCATATTTTCTCAAACGAACATAGAAAAAAGAACAAATATGAGTTCTCCAACGTGTAATGTCGGGTTATGCAAAGATTGCTTTATCCTTGTATCATACCATGTGTTTTGACTTTTTTTATGATTATAATTTCAATAACAGATGGCTCCACTGATACTGTTAATCAAGAAAGATTTGTTTTTGTTATTTTTTCTTTCCTCTTTCAGTTTCAGTTCAGTGTTGCCATTGGGCTACAAGTAGCGGATTGGGCTACTTTTAAAAGTCCCCGCTACTGAAAATCAAATTTGGGCTATCCGCTACTTTTTGGGCTACTTTAGGGGTGCACAACCTGTGGCCCGCGGGCCAAATGCGGCCCTTCGACTACTGAAGTGCGGCCCGCGAGAGCTTCTAAACACAATAAAAATTTGTTAAAAAATGGCAATTTTTAATCGCACTTTTAAGTCATCATGTTTTGACACAATCAATTTTAACAGATTCTTTAGTAAATGTACGTTTAACGCGCTTTCTTTAACCCGATTTTATCGTAAATATAAATGATTTTTTTTTAAAACAGTTATTTCCGCTTTTCTACGTGATTTCGAAAATCCCGAATTTTTATAACGACGCGAGTTTCAGTTCGCCCATTTAAATAATCACTTTATTTGTGACGATTTCATCTTAAATATAAGTGATTTTTTTATCTTTTTTTTAAAAAATTCTTTCTTTTTTAACAATTTTTTCGGCAGTTATTGCTATGCATTTCCACGTATCATAAAAAATTCCAATTATTCTATTATGACATGCAAATTTTAAATCGTGCATTTGACACGCTTTATTCATGCTGAGTTCAGCATAAATATAAGTAATTTTTCCCCCCAATTATTTCTATACTTTTCCACATGATTCTGACGATCCCGTTATTTAACTATGATGTTATTACGACACGTGACTCTTAATCGCGCAAAGTAATCACTTTTTGATACGGTGCAGTTTTATCGTAAATCCTAGTTATTTTTCCTTCGTTTTTTTTCCGCAAAGAATATGATTTGGTCGAATGTGGTAATGAATTGTGATTTGGTCAAAAACCAAATATTCGGCAAAAAAAGAAGAAAAAAAAGCGACTGAACGCCGTACACTTGGAGCCAAATAGCAAAATCTTTCAGCAGCATAGCAACACTGAAACTAAAATTTCAATGCTCAGAATAATATTTCCTGGAAAAACGTATTAATAAATTAACTCTAAAAAATGAGGCCAATCAAGAACGGTTTTGAAAATGTCGAAAATCAAAACAGAGAACATAAAAATCAATCTTAATTTTTGAAAGAAAATTTTAAAGCTGAACTTCTCAGTTTTCCAATTACCAGAAGAAGCCAAGAAAAAAGAATTAAGTCAACAGAAATGCTATTATAAATTACTGCGTTATAATAAAATGTCTAAAAAAAGTTTTTTTTATTTAAAGAAAATAAAAAGTTAGAAAAAACGTTCTTAATTTTTTAAATGGAAATCTTATGCTGAAAATCGCAATTTAAATTTTTCTTATTGCCATAATTTTAGAAGAAAAAAAATTGCTATAAAATTAATTTTGTTAGTAACTTTATTTTTAAAAAAAATGCTGAGTCATAATAAAAATGCCGAAAAAAAAGAAACACAGAAAAAACAGATTTTTCTTAGTTCCAGAAACAAAACTTTAATACTGAAAATCACACTTTTCTATGTTACTGGTTATTTATATTACAGTACAGGGAAAGAGTGATAATAAATTAATAGTATGAGACGTTCTGTTAAAGTGCTGGGTTATAATGAAAACAGCAAAAAATGGAAAAAAGTCCTTCTCAATTCTCAAAGTATCGAAAAAATGACAAAATTGACTTGTATGATTATAATTTTAAAAAAAAAGTATATAAAAATTCAAAAATAAAAAAAAANATTATTAAAAAGTTGTTAAGTTTTTAACCTTAAAATTGGTAGTTTTTTCAAACAGAGTTGTGTTTTAATTATGTTCTAGTTCGTGATGTAGCGTAACTACCACTAAGAAAATTAAACATCAATTCACTGGTATATATCATGCTAACTTGATTCAATCACGAGGAGTTGACACTTGGCTCCGTGCTTGAAATTGAGACACAACTCCGTGCTTGAAATTGAGACAACCCTTAATTTGCGCCAAACACAAACAGTGAATTATTTTTCAGTCACTTACTTCGCTTTATCATCTGCTATTATACCTTTTGTTACTCTAGCTAGTTAAATATAGTTTTTAAATTTAAAAAATGCTGTTCTCCCAGCAAAATATCTCATAAAGGACCTTCTCTCAAAAATAGCGAAATAGTATCGTCGCATACCACGTGATGAAGGAGGAGCCAAGTGCCAACTCCTGGTGAACGAGCTATACCTTTTGATAGATGACGGTTGGCATGGTCGATAACTCCGCCCCCCACAGTGATTTAATATTTCAGTTGTGTTTTTAATCAGTTCTAGTTCGTGTTTTAACAAGTAGAACTCAGAGATATCAGTGCAATGCTCAGAACAAACTCTTTTGCTATTTACGAAAATGACAATTTTTTTTGAACATTAGATTTAAGGTTTTGGGACAATAAATATCACTATTTCATTGAGGCAAATGTTAAAAGCTTTTGATAGGGGAGTAACTAGTCGCCATTGCTGTACTATACCATAAACTCCAATTTAAACAAGTCTGTGTATTTGTATATTGAGACCACATCTTGCCCTCCAACATGACAAAATAGGGTGTCATACAGTCCGTGGCCAAATTATTTGACATTTTGACGCACTATAAGATTCTACGTAAAATCTTAATTATCAGGTGATACAGCTTTATTGTTTTTATGCCACTGAAACCGGTTTGCACTTGTTTACGTTCGTGTATCAATTGGTTAACATTGTAATGCAATCTGTGAAGAAAAAAAAATACAAGTAGGAAGTGCATAAAAAATATCCTAAAAAAACCCCATTACATGTGTGTTTAAATATAAAAGTATCTCCTATAAACTCGTGCAAACCATGTAATTATTAAAGCACTAAAGTGTGTCTAATAATTTGGTCTAGTTATCATAATATACTAATATAATGCTTGATATAATAAATATTCTATATTTGTATAATATATCGTCTATTTTATATTATACATCGTCTAATTTAATCAATTGATACTTGAACGTAAACATGAGCAAACCAGTTGCAATCGCGTAAAAACAATAATGCTGTATAGTATGACCTGATAATTAAGATCTTATATCGAATCTTATAGTGCGTCCAATAATTTGGTCAGCGACTGTGTATGTATCTTTGCCGTTGGTTTATTAAAAAGCTTAAGGTCTACACGTGGGTATGGAGCTAGTGTAAGAGTTTGTGACACGATATTGATGCTTGCTGGTTCAATAATTTAAATCCACAAATTTCTACAAAAAATAAATATTTCGACTTAAAGCAATCATTTATTAAAAAAAAAAAGACTAATTATATTTCAAATAAATAATTATTTGAATGAGAAACAGTCAGTTATAATTAAAATATTACATGATTACGTAAAATAAAGCTTGCCTCTAATCTAAATTGCGTGTAATCATGGATCATATAATTCGATACAAACATGTTGTCTTTAATCAATACTTTCACTAAGGATTTCGATTGATTGAGTGTAATTAAATATATTTTTTATCTAATTCTGACATTTATCTATCAATAAGTTGTAAACTTTATTCGAGTTTAACGTTAGGGTATAAGAAATATGTGATTTCTTATTAATTCTAAAAAATTGGAAAAGATTCGATAGTTCGAAACTCATTTTTTCTCTCCAATTTCTACTTTCGTCAAGTTAAGGAGTCACAGTACCTTTGTAACATTTTTTTTTTTTTTTAAATAAAGGTATAATCATTCATTTTGTGGATGCTTTACATGCTCATTTAACTTATAATCAATAATTTTTCTTCAAAAAATAGTTAAACCGTTTAATTTCTTTAAAAAATTTTTTACAAAAGTTGAAAAAGTTCAAACTTTTTAAACCCTTAAAGTTTTTTTATTTTAACATATTTTCAAAAAAAAATTTCTTATTGCTTGCAATATTCATCTTAACAATTTTGTGCATTCATTTGTTGATATATCAATTAGAACATTTTTTTATGGATTATTTTGTAAAAAAGTAGGAAAAAAGATTAAAAATTCTTGTTAGGTATATATAACATGCTATAAAAATTGTAATACCTCATAAAATGCTTATTCCATGCACGGTTCAAATAAGTGTATTATACTTAAGATAAAAAAGTTTACTTCAAAGCCTTATCTTAAATAGAAAAAATTCCTTAGGGATTTAATTAAGATTAAAACACAAAATTATCGAGAAAAAGCAAAGTCTGTCTGCTGATCAAGTTTCTGTTTTGGGCAATCTAAAATCATTCATAAGTTTTTTAAAAATGTAAATAGACAGATGATTTTTTTCAGTGCATTTGAAATAGTTTGAAGTACTATTTCAAGCAATAAAATAAAATATCGATATTTTCGTCATTTTTTGTGTACTGTGACCCCTTAAAAACAATATTTATGAATTAGATGAAAAAATAAGTAACTCAAATGTAACATATGATTTTAACGAGAAAAATAAATATAAATTAGCATTTTTTTTTTTTTTGAAAAAGATTTTAAGATTAAAATATTGACACACTTTTAATGATTAAAGTTGTTTTTAAAAAGTATCCGAAATATCAAAAAATTATTGAAAAATGCATCTTTACTTCTATTGATCTATTTATTGAAAAATATAATAGCACTTACCTGTTCGCAAATCAAACCTTTTGCGCAATAACAATATTTTCGTTGCAAGTTGTCGCATCTATGACCTTAAAAGAATAAATATGCTGTATAAAACTAATAATTGGAGTTATTGTGCTGTTTAAATTCGAAAAGCTATACATGTTTTCCTAATTCAGGATATATCTCGTTCACCAGGGTATACGAAGACACTATTTCATTATTTTTGGGAGAAGCTTGTGAGCAATCCTGACCAAGATTGCTATTTGGCGATAGTATGGCCAAAATATTTATTTCGCAAACTTTTAGCATTGTTTTAATATTAATTATTTCATAAATTTGATGATATTTCGCTCCATTTTTTATGATATTTCTCTCTTTTGAGTGAACAGTTTGCTCTTTTTGAGACAGTTTGCTAGAAAAACAAGAGTTTTTGAATTTAAAATATATTTAATTAGCGGGCGAAACGAAAGGTATAATAGCAGATGATAAAGCGAAGTAAGTGACTGAAAAAGAAGTAACTGTTTGCGTTTGGCGCACATTAAGGGTTGTCTCAATTTCAAGCGTGGAAATGTTTCTCTTGTTACTTCCGCGCTGAAATGAGGAGGTGGGGCCAGGTGCCAACTCCTGGTGAACGAAATATAAATCACACACCCACACATCAGTAGGGGCATTTTTAACTTATATTGTTAAATATTTATTTCTCTACTGTATAAATTAAATTCACACTGTTTTGAACAACAGGAATTTCTTTCGATATTAAAAACTCGTAGGTACACGAGTATTTCTGCTAATTCCTATATCTTCAATTTCAGGCATTCTCAGGCAATTTCAAATTTTGCATAAATAGCTGATCATGACGTCACAACGAATTAATTAATTTTCACCTATGCATTTCGTTAACGCTCAAGTAAATAAAGTCATAACCAAATCGATCGAAGTCAATTTTAGAAATTATAAGTGCAATGAAGTTTTCTGGTAAAAAAAATTTTTTATTATATCTATTTATAGAATTTTCAAACTAAAAAAGTTATAGTATTATCAACACATTAAAATAAAAATAATTGTGTAAACAATAGAAGTAATGGTTCAGGAGACTTAATTTATGAATTACTAAAGAAAACAGAGTATAAATCAAACATTAAAATTTTCATAAATTTAAATTTCATAACTAAATAACAAATTAGGCCTATCAGCTTGGTTTTTCTTGCATTTTATCTAAATTGTAAACAAGTACTATAGTAGATTTGTTTATTTATTTTGGCACGTTTTCATCAGTTGAACGAAAGCAGGAAAAAATTTAGACTTCTTGTTTCGTATTTATCCCAATTTTCTGTATTTTACTTGATTTTTTCTTATTAATTCAGATATATTTCAACTACGTGCGGAAAAAAATGATAAATCTTTGCTTGTGATTAGATATTAGTATAGGGATCATTCATAATAATTACCTTCTCTTGCAATCTTTCTACACATTTTTCCTTTTCTGGTATCAGCACAGCATTCACTCTCCGGACATGGTCTCAAAATATTGCAATATGAGTTTGCAGTCTTGGAAAAATACATGAGAAATTAAAAAAAAAAAGAATTCCAGAAATCATTTTCAAGAAAAAGAAAACATTTGTTTGGCACATTGTATACTAATTTTATTTAAAAAGCTTAACAAAATATATCTGAAGTATATTTGTGTATGTGGAAGCAAGTCTAGTGTCACAATAATGTGTGTAATGCACAATATAAGTAGACAGTGTCATTTTGCGCAGTATAATTAAATATCTATTCATTTCATAAACTCAAATTGACTGATGCACGTTAAGTCTGTCGAGTCGCAAAGTCATCCAATCAGTACCTCTGGGGGTACTGGATTGGAGTCAGGTCAAAATTACGATCTGTGAATGAATGAATGGATGTATGAATGGGTTCGCGCTATAAACGGGTGTGACGTATGGGTGTGGCAGAAGTCGAATTCTAGGCCATAGATAGCGCCACTGGAAAACAAAAACAATCGCACCCCTCTGCCTTAACAGGCATACGACGAGAGTGAGAGAGATAAATCTGATTGGAGATAATTATTTTTTAGTCAAATACTTAAAATGTAATACCAGTGAGTACTGTACAATCCTGCTTGATCAAAACAGTGTCAATATGCTCCCTCATCAACATGGGTAACTACGTCGCCAGATTAGTATTTCCAAACTTATTCCAAAACCACGTGTTTATTCTGTTTATAACCAGGTTTTAAAAAGGTGTTTCGAAAAAAAAATTATAGCTTAAAAACAATTGTATATGAAATAACAAATACTTTTCATGTACTAAAGAGCAAAATTAAGAGAGGAAAGATATTTATTTGTTTCGAGGGACCGTTAGAAATTGCTAAACTATTATTGGCATCACTAATACTTAATTAATTTTAAAAATTAGTACTACTGATAACATCTTAATTAATGCTAGTTTTAATGTGTACTAAATAAACTGATATGAATACAGATATTTTACTTACTATTCGCAGTCAATATTACGTGTTACAACATGGCCCTATTCCTCCCCTTAATAAAAACCCGTAATATTCAAATTAGACCACGTATTTTATTATCGGGTACTAGTGTACCCCACCAGAGGAAATAATTATAGGCTTATTAGGGGGAGATATAGGGCCCTATAGGTTACTATGTATGTATACAATGTGGCCCTATAGGTTACTATATATATAAATAACAGTGAGATGAATAGCGGTAAAATGAAGAAATTCGGAGTCAATATTATGTATTACATCATGGCCCTATATCTCAATTTAATATTGACCCATAATATTCACATTGGACCACGTATTATATTACCAAGTACTAGTGTACCCCACCAGAGGAAATAATTATAGATTTATTAGAGGGTACACAATATGGCCCTATAGGTTACTATGTATATGTATATATAATATATAACAGTGTGTTGAATAGTGTTAAAATGAAGAAATTCGGTGTCAATGTTATGGCCCTATATCCCACCTTAATAATGACCCATAGTATTCAAATTAGACGACGTATTATATTATCGGGAGCTAGTGTACCCCAACAGAAGAAATAATTATAGGCTTAATAGGGGGTACACTAAGTGGTCCTATAGGCTACTGTGTATGTATATATACAATCGCGTTAAAATTAGGAAATTCGGAGTCAATATTATGTATTACATCATGGCCTTATATCTCAATTTAATATTGACCCATAATATTCAAATTAGACCAAGTAAAATTAATGGAGGCAAAGTAAATAACAAAGTAAAATTAATGGAGACAAAGTAAATAACAAAGTAAAATTAATGGAGACAAAGTAAAATTAATGGAGACAAAGTAAATAACAAAATAAAATTAATGGAGACAAAAGTAAATAACAAAGTAAAATTAATGGAGACAAAGTAAATAACAAAGTAAAATTAATGAAGAAAATGTACTTTAGGGAAACTGTAAAAATTCGCCATACTACTTTTGATGTTAACTACCTACATTTTTGTAATTTTGGTAATTTCGTTTGGAATTGCGGTAAATAGGGCTGATTTCATAGGTATCAAGAACTAACATAACTATATAATAACTAATATGATAATAAAATAACTAAGATGAGTAGCAAGAATCCAACTCTAAATATTGTAGTAATAGGTTTAATAAATCCCTTGAAAAGAATAATTGCGGAAGAAAATTTCTACTATCAGAAGTTCGTTTCGAGCATCAGGCCGCATTTTTCTCATAATTTTCTAATGGAAATAGTTACATTATTGTTAGTACTTACACAGATGAATGCCAAGCTGAAGAGGATCATGAGGCCAAGGAATTTCATATCTTATGGTAGCTGTCCTTAATGGTAGGTTATATTTCTTCCGCAAGTTCTTTCTCTTTTATATATACCTACGATAAAATGTAAAAATAGATATGATTTAGACACGTACTGACTTTCCTTCATTGGAATTTCTATAATACTTTAGTAAAGCCAAGAATAATTACAAGAAATAAAGTGAATATATATTAAAGATTGTTCATTCTGATAAAAAAAGCTACATTTAATTTTTCCATCTTTCAAAATCGTGGTCTGGGGATCAAAGAAAGGAAATTATTTATTCCAGCTGCTTTTAAATTAAGGGACAAGCATGAGTTTCGCTTCATGCATCAAGATAACTATTTATTATATGACAAGAACTGAAAATTCGAATACTTTTGCGTCTATTTAATTAAATCAACTCGATTAGATGTGATGGAGAAACAAGAATGTTAAAGTTAATGGTGGTAATTAAAATTTATCGGATGGTGCACTCTGATTTACTCATATTTTGTTAAATTTTAGTTCTTAGTTTTTGTTAAAATAAGTTCTTGGAGTTATTTTATTAATGGAGTTATCTTGGAGTTATTTATACAGCCCCTGGCTAAATTATTAGACGCACTATAAGATTCTAAGTAAAATCAGGTGATGCTATACATCTTTATTGTTTTTACGCAACTCAAACCAGTTTGCACTTGTTTACGTTTGTGTATCAATAGCTTAAATTAGACGATGTATAATATAAATTTGACGATGGGATAACTTACACGATATATTATATAAATATAGAATATTTATTATCTATATATATATTTCTCTTACACGGCGATAAAAAAAAGCCTCATTACAACTCCCCGAATGGCAACGCTAGAAAATCAACCAATGATTGCCGCTAAAAAAGTCACATGCCAAATTTAGTTTAGGTGGCTCAACATATAGCGCTTCTAAAAACGGAAACTGAAATAACCAGAGTGTAAAATATTATGTGCTTATGCGCATCGTATTTTTTGTTAAATAATTTATTTATTATTTATCAGTTTATAGATGGTAACGAGAAGAGTTTTGTGGTTGCTATGGTGACTAATTAGAATGTAAATTGTTTTTTTGAGTGAGTGTGAGATTTGTTTTTTGGAACTGCGATGCTGTAATTTTATTGTTTAGTTAATAA